CACCTTAAACTTACCTTAATTTTCAAGAATCAGAAAGCTCATCTTATCTTTATTTCTGATCTATTTATCTTTAAAACATAAGACAAAGACTTTGTTTTATGTATTTTTCCTACGTTTGACAATCTTGACCAAGGGTGGATTTTAAAGGAGCACTATGGTGCCAAGAAAACAAACTCGATTTCCTGGCATTATAGGGTCATTAGGTCCCCCCACCCTCAGAGCCCCCAGCCCACTGGGCTGAAGGGGTTAGAGCCCCTTCAGCCACTTACCTTTCTCCAGCTCCAGGCTACTTCTGTGCTGGGGAACTCTCCACCCCCTGCCAACGTCACATCCGAGTGCGCATGCGCGGCAAGAACTACAAGCGCATTCAAACAGACCATATGAAAGTATTACTCAATGCTTTCCTATGGATGTCCAGCGTCTTCTCACTGTGATTTTCACAGTGAGAATTGCGGAAGTGACTCTAGCGGCTGTCAGTGAGACAGCCACTAGAGGCTGGATTAACCTTCAGTGAAACATAGCAGTTTCTCTGAAACTGCTATGTTTTCAGCTGCAGGGTTAAAACTAGAGGGGCCTGGCACCCAGACCACTTCATTGAGCTGCAGTGGTCTGGGTACCTATAGTGGTCCTTTAAGGCATCTGTTTTACCCCTCTGCCAATGCTATTCTACATCTACAGCCCAAACCAGAACCCAGTCTTGCCATGTGTTACAGCATCCCCCTAGGGTTTTGCCAGCTAAAAGGCAGATGATAACAGATGTAGACATACAGAGGGAAACAATGTAGGAGAGAGTGGGCAGTCGGTGACCAAATCAATGCTCCCCGATAAGGCACACTTTTTCACACCCTGTCATCAACTGATATACAATATTGGGGTTAAAACAGTGAAGTGTTCATCATTCCAAGTCACTGGCCCTACCATCAGCCCTAGCTTATATTCTCATTGCCTTGACGTTCCCCTCTATTACAACTTCTCACCCCTCAAATCCAGTAAAATCATGTTGCTGCTCTCTCAAAAACATAGCTTGCATCCACTCTCAGCTAACACCAAATGCCGCTATCAGCTTCCGCCTTGACTACGACAATCCGCATCTCCTTGGTTTTACACATTCCCTGCATGCACTGCTAAAACCTATAATCACCCCCCATGCCTCCCCCCATGTCAGTCTTTAAATTGGCTTCCCATGAGAAAAGTTAAATTTCAAATGTTGGTTCTTGCTTACAAATCTCTTCAGAAAACTATCCCCATCTACTTATCCTTACTAATACACAAGTATATCCCATTCAGGTCCATACTCTCTGCTGAAGACCTGCATAAATCCTCTGTTAATACGTGCATCTTTAACTCCAACCTTCAAGACTTCTCCATTCCTTTGGAACTCCTTCCCTGCTCCATTGGACTTTCACTCAATCTCCATTCCTTTAAAACATCACAAAAAAATCACTTCTTCAATGAAACATATTATTTAATCAGCTTTCCCTCTGCAAGAACTAACTAACCCACCTTCTCTCCTGCAACTATGTCATCTAAACAACTGAGCCTTCATTATACTCTTATAAGAACCTACTGTTTTCATGAGATGAAATACATCTTATCCATACCTCTCATTGTCATTTTACCCCACTCCCCTTAGCTCCTTTTTTTTTATTTTTATTTTTTATTATTATAAAATTTGATTCACAGACATAGCAGAACAGAACATCAAAGCAATTCGGATGTTCAAAGTAATGACCTCTAGTACAAATACAACGAAACTGATCCGGTGTTCATGTTCTACAAACTGGTAATATAGGAGAGAACTTCAACAACTTGCTGTATGTATATTCATTTTGATTAAGGGTAAAAAGTGGAGGGGAAAGAATGGAAAGAGGACTGGTGGGAGGGGGAATTGAGAAGTTTACATATTCAAATACATATTCATGTACAACTGGAATGTGTGGTACACTAATTGCGCAAGCAGTTATTTGCTTTGTGGCTTGGGCCGATATCAGGATATAGTACCCAGGCTGTTGAGTGTTTCACTGTTCAGTGGGCACAGCAGGTAAACCTGAGGATGGTAAAGATACTCAATTATCAACTCAAAATTGTACAGTGATCTCCAGGTATGAGCACAGCTGTCGACGCTTTTGAGAGTGGGTGATTATGGGTTCATGATCTTAGTGACCTCATCCCATCTATTTCAGGCTATTCTCCAAATTGTGTTCTTTTGGTTGGCTAGATGGATACATTCTTGTACGGTCGGAGGGTCTGTACTCCTCCATTTCCTACTGATGAGCATCAGTGCTGCTATGTTAATTTGGTAGGTAAGATATATCATAGCTTTCACAAACCATGAGGGGTAATTTTGTAGCAGGAAATTTTCTGGGGTATACTGAATTGTCAATCCTGTCATGGATTGTATGAGTTGTGCAACATTTTGCCAGTATTTTGAGAGTAGCGGGCAAGCCCACCAGATGTGGAGCATATTTCCTTCTCCTTTTTGACACCTACAGCACTTGTTAGGCACACTGGGAGTCATGCGGTGTACCATCTGTATAGCAGATTCTTAAACAGCTCAATGTGGGTTGAGCAGAGGGTTAGTTTTTTCTGATTAGTGAACAATTTTTTCAAAGCCGTCTCAGGTAGTGTGAGGTTTAGCTCACGTTCCCAAGCACGGATGAACTGTAATTGTTTAATATTCTGGCCTCTGATCAGGCTTGCATATAGCAAGGGGATAGTTTTCTGTGCCAGCAACTGTTTTATTAGGATTCGCTCGAAGTTCGTCAGCTGTTGCTCATGTACAAGTGTCTTTGCTGGTATATAATAATGTTTATAATGTTTAATTAACCATGCCCTCAGTTGGAAGTATGAAAACCAAACTATATTCAATAGGTTTTAATCCATTTGTAACTGTGTAAAGGGCATGATTTTGCCTCCCTGAAATCAGTTGTGTAATGTACCTGACGTGGTGCCACTCCGAAAGTCGAACATTAAAATCGAGGATCACCGATTATAAAGTGGTGATTGTCATTGCTGGGGAATATGCCTTGGTCAAACATAAACTGGCTCTGTGAGATATGTGCTTTGTCAATGCAGTGGTGGGCAGCATCTTTAAACTCCTAGGTCTCATGTGAGTGGGGGTCCACATAATTAATAACAAAATGGTGCCCCTGGGCCATTGCCAACTCCCGTTCCACCCATTGTGGGGCATATCCTGAGCAGGGGAGGGCTGGCAGCCTTAGGCCTGGGGGGCAAATCCAGTCAAGTGGCCCATTGCACCACCGAATCAGCTCATCATCCATGGCCACTTTTTCCTGGTTTTAATGGATATAGGTGTAGTCCATGTATCAACCACGTTTTGTATACATCGATGGGATTAGCATCCCATACACCGTCACCAGGGCTTGGCAAATTTAATTGGAATCTAGAAGCCAGCTAAAAAAGTTAGGAGTAAAGTTTTCAACGTCAAAACTAAAAATTTTAAGGGACACTGTAGTCACTAGAACTACTACAACTTAATGTAGTTGTTTTGGAGCCTTTATCCTGTCCCTGCATGCTTTTTAATGTAAACACTGACTTTTCAGAGAAAAGGCAGTGTTTTCATTGCTGCCTAGTAGTGATTGTAGTCTTTAGTAGTGATCAAACCCTGGGCAAGCATCTGCTTGGCCCTGTGGATCATGTCCCCCCCTATGGCATCAATCCAACCCCTCCTCCCCCACCCCAAAACAAAAACAAACGCACACATATATATATACACATACACACACACATACACATATATATATATACACACACACACATATATATATATATATATATACACACGCACACACACACACACAGAGATATATATATATATATATATATACACACACAGAAATATATATATACACAAACGCACATATATATTCACACACACACACACACACACACACATTTATAGACACACACACATATATATGTAAAACACACGATTATATAGCTGGTTAGACTTCACGCCACATGCACGGGAGGAGCGGAGGAGAAGTGATTGCCGACGGGCAACCCGGCGTGAGCGCTGAATGCGCTCATAAAAAAAATATTGCAGGTGTAACACAGGCAGCTGGCAACCCATGCGGCCCTGGATATAGGGCGGCCAGGGGGGCAATTGCCTCCCTGCCACCCGTCCCAGCCCGCCCCTGATCCTGAGTCTGTGCAGCAATCATGGGGTTGATTTTGGCTGCCTGGTAATAGGGGCCTGCCCAGATAAAGTGGTTAAGTATTCATTGGTTTTCTGTGAAGTAATATGTTGGTATCTGGATGGGGAGGGTCCTAAACAGGTACTGATATTTTGGGACCACTATCATGTTTACCGTGGCAACTCGGCCCGACCAAGATATGAACTTTTTATTCCAGTCCTGGAGGAGCGCTTTCACCTGGTTTTGCAGGTTCACCTAGTTCGTCTTATATAATTTATCTATGGAGGAAGTGATTTTTATCCCTAGGAAAGTGAGATGGTCCGTTCTCCAATCGTATTGCAAGTTTTTTTGGAGTAGTTATATGGAGGCACTAGGAAGATTAAAGCCCATGGCTTGAGTTTTAGCCACATTCAATTTGTAGTGGGAACATCTACTGTGGGCCTCTAGAGTAGCCGCAAATGCTTGTAAGGATTCCCTTGGATTAGTCAGTGTGAGGAGGATGTCATCGGCAAAAGGTGTTAGTTTGTGTTCACATCGGTGTACATGGATGCCATGTATGTGTGAGTGGTTGCGGATTAGAGACATGAGTGGCTCCAGTGCCATTATGTACAATAGAGGTTAAAGGGGACACGCCTGTTGTGAGCCATTAGAAATGGTGAATGATTGTGATAGAAATCCACTGTTAGTAACTTTGGTGGAGGCATTGTAATAGAGTGTTGTCACTGCTGCTATGAATTGCTTTTGGAAGTGGAACACACTGTCTCACCCTCCCCGTAGGACAAGCATCAGATCCAGCACCTTCCGAGTCCCATCCGCTCCCTGCCTGCCACTAACGAATCCCACCTGGTCGTCGTATACAATGGTCAGCATTATGTCTGCTAATATGTCTGTATTCAATAACGATATGGGTCTCAGGTTTTGGGCCCGGTTGGGGAGTTTGCCTGGTTTTGGGAGTGTTGCGATGTGTGCCATCAGCATTTCCGACAGTGCAGCTCCTGCTGGCAGCATCGCCTGGAAGGAATTTTGTAAGTGGGGCCCTAATGTTCTGGAATAGGTCTTGTAATACTGATTTGAGAGCCCATCCAGTCCCGGCAATTTCCCGGTCGGTAGTGCAGCAATAATAGAATGTATTTCCTGTACAATGATGGGGGCTTGCAGTGTCTGTTGTTGGCCCTGGGAAAGGGCCGGGAGTTGGATTTGGGCCAGAAAATCATTAAAGGGACACTCCAGGCACCCAGACCACTTCTACCCATTGGAGTGGTCTGGGTGCCAACTCCCACCACCCTTAACCCTGCAAGTGTAATTATTGCAATTTGTATACACCCTGTTCCAAATTATTATGCAAATTATATATTTTTTTATTGAATAAACCTCCTAATGATAACAGTATTTTTTTTTAAAAAAACACAAAAAATAGAACAAAAAAGCGCAATATAAAATTAAATTGTCTGTATGACACCAAATATTAAAAGTCCAAAGATAAAAATTTTTAGCTGCCAGACATAAAAGGTTATTCCGCAAACCTATGTGATAGAATGTCCAAAAGTAGATAAATGTCAGCGCTGTGCAATAGACCCAAATAAGTGTTTGTGGGGAAGCTGGGTATTGAGATAAATGTGTGTGATTTCCACCTCCACAGCGGTGGTTTAGGAAATTAGGAGTATTCTGTGTAAACTTTGTATCCAACAGCAGTGATCACAGTAACGTATCTTCAAAGATACAAACCAAGCAAAGAAAGTGCAACACAGTTTATTAATATCATGTAAAAATAAAACTCCAAATCCTTTAAAAAACTCATACACAATAAAAAAGATGGTGTTTAAATCCTACTTTCCATCTAAGGATCCAAACAGAGTCCAGAATATGTAACAGATAAGCCAGTGATGGCGAACCTTTTTGAGCCCGAGTGCCCAAACAGCAATACATGCCAACTTTTTTTTTCCCTCAAAGTGCCAACACGGCAATTAAACCTGAATACTGAGGTTTAAGTTTAGAAAAAACAACTCGTACAGTTGTCAGAACTAATTAACAACTTTTGTTTTAAAAGAACTGAACTGCTGAATACATACACACAGTCTGCTGAATACACACACACAAGACTGCTGAGTACAGAGACTGATGAATACACACACACACAGTCTGCTGAATACACATACAGACAGACTGCTGAATACACACACACAGACTGCTGAATACATACACACACACAGTCCGCTGAATACACACACACAGTCCACTGAATACACACACACACACAGACTGCTGAATACACACACACACATACTGCATTGAGGGGTGCAGTGTATGTGTTTGTGTGTGGGGTGCTGTGTGTGTGCGGGGTGCTGTGTGTCTGAGTGTTGCTGTATGTGTGTGTCTGTGAAGAGTGTGGTGTGTGTGTGTGTGAGGGGTGCTGTGCTGTGTGGGGGTAGGGGTGCTGGGCGGGGGTAAGGGTGATGTGCTGTGGGGGGTAGGGGTGCTGTGTGTTTGTTGTTGTAGGGGTAGGGAGATTACTGTGTGTGTGTTGCTTAGAGTATAGGTGTGCTATGTGTAGGATAGGTGTGCTGTGTGGGTGGTAGGGGTACTGTGTAGAGGAGTAGAAAGGGGTGCTGTGAGGTAAAAACTTGCATGTAGAGTTAAGGAGGTACTGTGTGGGGGTATTGGGGGTGCTGTGTGTGGTAGAGTGAGGGAGGTGCACTGTGTGTGGTGGGATAGGGGTGCTGGGTGTGGGGGGTAGGGGTGCTTGCTGGTGTGGGGGGTAGGGATGCTGGGTGTGGGGTAGGGGTACTGTGTGGGGGTAGAGGTGCTGTGTGTGGGGAGTAGTGGTGCTTTGTGGGGGTGTAGGGGTACTTTGTGTGGGGGAGGGTACTGTGTGGTTGTAGGGGTGCTGTGTGTGGGGGTAGGGGTGCACTGTGTGTGGCCAGGTGGGGGTACTGTGTGTGTGTGGGGGTGGGGAATTGCTGTGTGGGGGTAGGGGTGATGTGTGGGGGGTAGGGGTGCTGTGTGAGGTTAGAGGGGTACTGTGTGGGGAGTACAGGGGTGCACTGTGTGTGGAAGGTTAGATTGCTTTGTGGGGTAGGGATACTGTGTGTGTGGGGGTAGGGGTGCTGTGTGGGGGGTAGGAGTGCTGTGTGGGGTAGGGGTGCTGTGTGGGGGGTAGGGGTGCTGTGTGGGGGATAGGGGTACTGTGTGTGGGAGGGTAGGGGTGCTTTGTGGGGGTAGGGGTACTGTGTGGGGGTAGGGGTACTGTGTGGGGGGGAAAAGGTGTTTTAAAAAAAAGTATGATACATCAGTATCCCCCCCTCCCTCCTTCTTAACTTTAATGAAGGAGGGGGGGGCAGCCATCCCTGGTGGTCCGGTGGTGGTAAGTTCTGTAGGGAGCAGCTCCCCTATCCTCCCGCGTGATGCTGTGTGGAGCATTGCCATGGTAATGCGCGGCAACGCTCCACAAAGCTTGCTCGCTGGAGGACAGGGGAGCTGCTTCACAGATCCCTCCCCCTGCCTCCCGACACGGAAGCAGAGTAGGCACCTGCAGTTTTGGGCAGGCAGGTGCCTACTCTGCATTGATGGCGAACCCATGGCTGCGTGCCGACAGAGAGGGCACGGTGTGCCACAGGTTCGCCATCACTGAGATAAGCAGTGTGCTGAAAGTATTACTACTCTGTTGGTGCAGTAGAAATCCAGAAAAAGTCCAAGGATCTAGCCGAAATGCTGCAAGTTCAAATGGAGGGATGACAAAGCACTTAACTGCCAAAGGTGTCTGTTTGTATCTTTGAAGATACGTTACTGTGATCACTGCTGTTGGATACAAAGTTTACACAGAATACTCCTAATTTCCTAAACCACCGCTGTGGAGGTGGAAATCATACACATTTATCTCAATACCCAGCTTCCCCACAAACACTTATTTTGCACAGCGCTGACATTTATCTACTTTTGAGTATTTTTTTTAAAACATAAAAAACTTACAATGCACTGTTCCAAATTATTACGCACAGTAAGTTTCAAAACACTTTATAGCATGGCTCATCAAATCCCCGGCGCCAGGTTGCCATGGCGACAAATTTTTTTGCCAGGGTGCCTGGGTTTTGTCAACTTTTTATCCAAACACCTGGCTGGGCAAATAATGGAGCCGGCCGTCCACCCGAGGGAGCATGCTGACGGCTGGCTAAGTGAGCGTTGTAGCATCCAGTGGAGCATCCAGGCGGTCGGCTGGGGCAGCGTGCGAGGGAGCAGTGATCTTCCAGCTGCTCCTCTCTGCTCCCTCGCACTGTTTAATGATGCCGGGAGCCGGAATATGACGTCATTCCGGCATCACAGGGAGCAGAGAGGATCTGCATGGTAGATTACTGCTCTCTCTGACACAGGAAGTGAGAGCAGCCCCATTACACCCCAGGGAACGTCCACTCAGCACTCCCAAAATTTAAAAAAATGAAAGTTTGTGTTTGAGAAAGTGTATGTGTGTATGTAAAATGTGTGTGTGTGCCTCTGTCAGTCAGTGTATATGTGCCTATGCCTCTGTCAGTGTGTGTATGCTTCTGTCAGTGTGTGTGTGTGTGTATGCTCCTGTCAGTGTGTGTGTGTGTGTGTGTATGTCTGTCAGAGAGTGTGTGTCTGTTTAGGTACCTGCGATCACGATTGGTGTTTTTACTCACCCTTTTTTTCCCACGCTGTGCAGGTTTTGCCATGGCTTGACCCACCTCCATTGCCGAGTTCATCAATCTTTTTGATCTCCGCTAAGCGAATGCTTTCCCACATGAAAGCATTGGGAGGATATTGCGCATGTTCTGTATGGGTAACATTCAGCACGTCCATGCAGAGCACTGACACAGGACTCTCTAGAGGCCGTCTGAGTGACAGCCACTAGAGATCTTAGTAGGCAGCAATGTAAGCACTGCCTTTTCTCTGAAAATGCAGTGTTTACCTTGAAAAGACTACAGGGACAGGCTATAGGCACCAGAACCAGTACATTAAGCTGTAGTGGTTCTGGTGACTATAGTGCCTCTTTAAGAAAAAAATTGCTCCTAACTTTTTTAGCTGGCTCCTAGATTCTAAGCAAATTTGTCAAGCCCTGCTTTATAGGTTGTGAAGAACTGAAAATTGTCATTAGTTGTGTTTGCAGCATATTTACTGAAATCAAAAGCTATTTCAATCAAACTTATAACAACATTTTAACTTTTTAAACATTTTAACAGGTCACGTTACATTTTAACATAGGACCCCTTATTTGATAGCAGCTTCACAAGTCTTGCATCCATTGAACTTGTGAGTTTTTTGGACAGTTTCTGCTTGAATTTGTTTGCAAGATGTCAGAATAGCCTCCCAGAGCTGCTGTTTGGATGTAAACTGCCTCCCACCCTCATAGATCTTTTGCTTGAGGATGCTCCAAAGGTTCTCAACAGGATTGAGTTCAGGGGAGGATGGAGGCCACACCATGACTTTCTCTCCTTTTATCCCCATAGCAGCCATTGATGCAGATGTATTCTTTGCAGCATGAGATGGTGCATTGTCATGCATGAAGATGATGTTATTATGGAAAGCATAGTTCTTGCTTCTGTACCAGGGAAGAAAGTGGTCAGTCAGAAACTCCACATACTTTGCAGAGGTCATCTTTACACCTTCGGGTACCCTAAAGGGGCCGACCAGCTCTCTTTCCATGATCCCGGCCCAAAACATGACTCCACCACCGCCTTGCTGACATCGCAGCCTTGTTGGAACAGGGTGGCCGTCCACCAACCATCCACTACTCCATCCATCTGGACTATCCAGGGTTGCACCGCACTCATCAGTGAACAGGACTGTTTTATAATTAGCCTTCATGTATTTTTCTGCCAAATGCAGCCGTTTCTGTTTGTGAGCATTGGTTAGTGGTGGCTGAATAGAAGGTTTATGCACAGTTGCAAGACTCTGGAGGACTCTACACCTTGATGTCCGTGGGACTCCAGAGGCACCAGCAGCTTCAAATATCTGTTTGCTGCTATGTAATGGTATTTTTGCAGCTGCTCTCTTGATCGATGTATGGATCTGGCAGAAATCTT